GTTGTTGATGGTTATGCCTTTCATGTGAAGCTCAGGCTTTAGCTGTGACTCTTGGCTTGAGAGCTTTCTTCTGCTAAAATTCGAGTATAGACCTGTGAGGAGGGAGGTCAGGGGACGAGGAAGGCTTATACAGGAGAAGAAAGATGTTAGGGTTTGTTCTGTTTGGTTTGGGTTTTGAAAATGTTATAAAAAGACAAAATGAACTGTCTTTTATGGACTGTTCTGCAACCTTTTGGACAAACATTTTTATTAGAAGTGGAAAAGGAAAGCATATGTGCACAACTGGAAGTTAAAAATTATTGGTTGTTAACCTGTTGGCAAGACATCTCATTTATCATGCTTTAAGAACATGCTTTCAACTGAAGCATCATAGCTAGTTGTGGGTTTGTTCCTATCCTGTTTCAATGTGAAAGAATTTTTGTAGCCAGCGCCGCAGCTGAATTGCCTCAGGTTATTTAGATGGGTTTGTTTTACTGTTTCTTGCAGTGGACTCGTAGTGGACAGACAGCCTGTGTCTGTGCTTCAGTTGAAGGAGTCCAACTTTCAACAGGGGGTGGTAATTCCATTAAATGAGAGTATCTGAAACAGTTTGATTTTTAGTTATGCCTGATTTAAACAAAAATGACATTTTTAGTGAATCTTTTTAGTGTCCAAAACCTTAGTGTTTATGTTGAAAAAGTGTAAGCAAGATGCAGACAAGGTAGTGAAAGAAATTCCCATAGTGAACACATTGGTTTTGGTATAGAACATGTCCTTTGTGAATTATACTTTTTAGGCACTGAAAATACAGTTTCAGGGGAATAAAGGAAAATAGTAACCTTTTTCAAATGATTAACCATACATTTTTCTGAAAAAGTATTCTACATATTTTGATGGTTTGGGATCGACTAGTATTTCAGGTATTATTTTAATAATGAGTGTATGATGATGGAAAGTGAGTAGGAGGACTTTGCGATTTCAATAGAAATATTTTAAACAAGTTCAGACATTATTCAGTAAAAACTAGTGGAGTAGAACAGTGGAACAACACAGGATCCTGGATAATTTGCCCTCCTACACCAGGATCCACTTCTTCTGAAGAGTTACTAGTAGAAGATGGAAATTCCACACCTTCCTACATGCCTTAGGCAAGTGACTCTTGAGCTCAGCTGCCTGTACTGGAAAGGTTTCTTTGTTGCCATCCTAAATGTCTCTGTCTTGCCCTGTCTGTCATGGGCAGTGGAAATAGTTTGCTTCCTCTTTGCTGTGACATATTTTTGCATGTGAAATCTGTTCTGTCTTCCTTCAGTCATGGTGCACCAAGAAATGTACATTCAAATATGAATATTAAAGAAAATCTGCAAGAGCAAAGCTTGCCTATTTAATAGGGTGAAGCTGCAGTCAATGAAGATAAGCATGAAAATCTGAAAGCAAGGGTAAAATCCCCTGGGATTCTGGGAAGAGAAGCACTGGGTTTGAGAAGAAGATTGAAAAAAAAATAATGCAAGTTTAGAGTTGTTGATTTTTGTTACTTTTTAAAAAAACGAAACTGGAAGAGGAAAGGAAGCTGATAAAGCTTAGATTGTGATTTTCCTAGAGGCAGGGTGACTGTGAAGGTGGTGACGGATAGAGTGCTGGGTTCCTAGGGGATAGCTTGGTGAAGATGGAAAGGCCACTGTGGTGAGAACTATAATGTGCGTTTCTTAAATCTGTTTCGTGTTGTTTGTTTTTTTTGTTTTGTTTTGTTTTTTTTGTTTTTTTTTTTTTTTTACATGAGATTAATTGATAACTGTTGATGTTAGGAGAGAAAAGCTTAGAGGCCTGAGTCTTTTTCCACTAAATTAGATCTTGTACAAATGCATACTCTATTATTTAATTGGATTTGCTCTCAATTTGCAGTTGCGTAGGTGGCACAATGCACAACCAAGAGTTGTTTTGCCATTGGTACCTGTGCTTCAGCCGTGAGGAAGTCAGCAGGGCTCCTCCACATCCCGTTGGGGAGGTGGGTGCAGAGTGGGGCAAGGAGCAGTGGTGGGTTTGGGGACAGCAGTGGTATGTATGGCTTCGTGTGGGGTTTCAGAGGCAGAGCGGTCAGGGAGATGTGCTGAAAGCAGAGGGACGGGACACGGCAGCGCCTGGACCAGAATATTTTTTTCGTTAGGGAAACTCAGCAGAAATGTCTCCTAATCAGCATGAGTGGGTGTATGAGCTTTCCTCTGCCTGGAGAGGATGCAGAGGGACTGCTGTAGGTCGGAGCTGAGCCCGCTCCCCTCTCGGGAGCGCAGGTTTCCAGCCTTTGCAGCACTCCTGGGCTGAGGCGCTGCTCAGCCTCCGCTCTAGAAAGCCGATCGGTCGTGCGGTGCCGGTTCCTCTTTACCTGCAGCAGCTCAAAGGACTGGACAAAAGACTTCCCCCAGCACTGCTTATTTCATGGAAGCGGTTGACAGTTGCTGTAGAAATGTTGGGCAAGCATGAACCGGTGGGCAGGCGGTCGACCAACGGGGAATCTTACCAGGGGCGTTGGTAGGGGAGTTGTGCTGCTGGCGGGGAGGGGGTGTCCCCCGGAAGGTCCACTGCAGCTCAGGTGTTTGGACCGTGGGTGTGGGGGGAGAGCGAGTTGTCAAGGAAAAGAGATGAGTTTTTGGGAAAGTTGTGAAAGCCTAACTACAGCTTGCAGTGTATTGAACACAGGGAGAAATGCGAAAGAGTATTCGTGCCAGGGCTGAGCATCCTGTGGGATTCATTCCTCTAGCAAGATCATTACAATCTCAGTTTTATGTTTCTTTCAGATGTAGATAAATAATTAAGAAATAATAAAAAAAGGAAGACTAATTTTTCTGTGATAATTAAAATGAATAATGGTCTCTAAAATAAGGAGTATTTCAAAGTGCCTAAAAAGAACTCTCCAAAGGACCTCTGTGCCAAATCAAAACTCTGAGTGTGTATGTTCGGGGGTGATGGTGGAGTGCAATATCCCACAACAACTTCATGTTATTAGTTTAAATTTTTAAGGTTATGCCTTACCAACAGCTAGATTTTTTTTTTCCTATTTTCCATTTCATCAATTAAACTCAGTGATTTTGAGACCTTGTCCCATCATAATATTTGAAAGATAGTATGGAAAAATCAAGCTTCGGAAGTCATGAAAGGTTTGAGGAAAAGCTTTTTTAGAGAATTGGATTTGACTCCTTGCAAGTAGGATTGCTGGGAAGTAGAAACCAAGCTGATAAAGAGTGTTTCAGTAACTTACACTCAAAATGGCTAAGGGCTATTCTTCAAAAGCAAAAAGAACTACTGGCAACTATTCCTTTATTGCTAATGCAATGCGTGCTTGGTCTTGGAGAAATGTGCACATCTGATTTTTGAGTGGCACAGTATGCAAAGAAAGGTCTTCCCTGAGCTTTGAACAGACAGCTCAACGGAATGCAAAGCCTGGTCCTGGATATTTCTGCAGGTAACTTCAGCTAGGGCATAGTCCTCTGCACTAGTTTTTAAGGTGGCAAAATTTCAATATATGACCCAGTACACCACCTGTATGCGTAGGGTGTGCGTTTGCTGTATCACAAAGCAGCTGGCTGCAGGCTGTCATTAAGAAAGAAACATCTTTCAGCAACGAACAGAGCCAAGAGAAACATCCAGTGCGTGGAAAGCGTATAAATGCTATCAGGTGTGCATGACAGAAGCAAATCTTCCCAGTAGTTGTTAGCTTGGCCAGTACTTAGGATCTATATAGGTTATTTAAAGCTTCCAGAAATGAGTTTTCAATACCCCAGGGACTATAACTAAATTTATACCTGGTTTTAAAATTAGTTTGTGTCTATCACAGGTAAGATTCAACTCCAGACTGACACGTGCATTTTGGTACCTACGTGTAGTGTGCCTGCCTGTGAGCCAGGGGGGTGCCAGAGCCCCCGACAGTCAGTGGAGTCGGAGCTGATGCAGCCAGTGGAGCCTGGGGAATAACTCATTTTCCTCCAGTGCAGAAACCTACCCCCTGGCTAGCTGAACAGCCACGAAGCACCTTTGTGCTTGTGTTGTTTCTTAAATCAGATAATGTACAGCAGGGAAATAATAGATAAATGATTTTACTGTGCGGTGTCAACTTTAAACCTTCTTATGAAGTGTGAAGAAATGTAACAAAGTATCTAATAAATAAGAAATACTACCTGTCTTGAAAATTTTCAGACTACTGGTAAGATGGACATTTTATTTATTACACATTATTATATTACCTGCTTGTTAGATATAGTGACTTACTGTTATATCTGTTTTCATTACATGTTAAACTTTTTTTTTTTAAATTAATAAAAAGTAGGATGACTAGGCGCAGCAGAGTTAAATTTGTAATAATGCATTCATTGATACAAACCATTACTGATACATTATTTGGCTATACATAATGCACCTGACATCCTTCTCTTTTTGGTTACAGCATTTAAATTAATTTTAAAACATTACAGTATAATTCTCAAAGAATACAAAGTTCTTGGCCAAAAAATTGAGATGAATCAAATCCATGTATGCATGTTTAGTAACTAACAAATTTACACATTAATATTTTGTCTTAATGTTTCCCTTAAATGTATTTTGTTTGTAAAAAAGCCAAAATATGCAAATTTTCAAGATCAATAATTTATATGCTTTATGGTTCTTAGTTAATCCTTTATTGCTTTCAGGTGCAGGAATTTAATAAATAATGGAGTTATTAAAAGTGGATGTATATTTGTTATATTCGCTTGTCTGTTTTTTAGAGATTTTTTTTTTTTAAATCTTTTTTCCTATGGAAGTTTTTTTTTCTTTAAATTAGAGACCGAGAGGAAAGGCAATTTACCTCAATTTTGATTTAATTATCAGTGCAGTTTGTGGCATAGAACAGTTCACTTGTCAGGATGCCCTGTGGCATGACATCTCTCGTGTATTTTTTCATCACCTGCTTCCCCTGTACCTTTAAAATAACCCCTTTAAACACTTCCCTGCTCTTGATCTGACTCTTCTCTGAAATCTTTCACATCTTGCTGAAGATACCTCGGATAATCCTCACGCGCCCTTCCACCTCCGATGAAGATACTGACCAGTTGCCTCCAGACCCGGATGACTTTGAGCCCGAGGAACCTGACAGCGCAGAAGGCCACGCCTATTCGGACTGTCTGAACAGTGCTTTTTACCCTCCCTAATAAAATACTTTTCTGGAAAGAGATCACCGGTGGTTTTCTTTCCCATTGTTCGATTATGTTTAATGTAGTATTTGAACCGCTATGCCTTATTTGTAGGGAAAACTATTACATGGAGGATGGATTTGAGTGGGGGAGCAGAACCTGTGTTTGTGTTTCTTTGCCTTGAACTTTCCTTCGGACAGAAATTGTGCACTTGAAACAAAATGTGGTGGGTGAGCTTATGTGAATGCCACCGCACATTTCCATAGCCACTTGTAAGGGTGTCCCACAGCACCTAAATGCAATGGTGAAAAGGGCAGGTGTTTTTTATTCGGATGGTACTTTATCCATTTGGAAACACACTGAAAACAATTGTATAGCTAGTTGGAGTTGTTTTCTAAACCTTGTGTCCATGTTTTTTCTGTATAGCTCACCCTTTTGTCTACACCAGATTCCTTTGAATTGTCCCTTTTAATGTTGTTTTCTATGAGAATAAAAATTCCTTTCTGTCTTTTAAATATTGCTGTTTTTTTTTTTTTTTTTCCCCAGCAGAGAAATGTTATTTCCATTAGAATTCTGTATCTCATTCTAGCATAAAAAAGAATAGTTTCTTCAGGTGTATCAGTAATGCAAACATATATCAGATTTGAACAGGACCTGTAAGTTACGTTTTGTTAGATCTATATGCAGGAGGCATCTTATGCAACTATGCACCTGAGAGTAAACTGAGAAGCAATTTCTTATGCTTAAGGAACTGAGACTCTTTTATTTCTTCTCCTGACTTGCATATAAGCAGAACACTAAATATGCCTTACTGCAATATGCCAGTGTTTCAAATATATATATATGTCTGTCTGTGTGTATATATATGTATACATGTATGAGGTAAGCATTTAAGAGCAAATTTTATTGTACAACAGTGTTCAATCCTTTAATTCTCTTCACTGCTAGTCATGTTTCTAATGCATTTTGAGGTGCTTAAGAAGAACCTTTTGGGATTTGATCTTTATTTGGGATTCCACAGTACTGCCTTAACTCGGAGGAGGTGGCATCTGACCTTGCCAGACTGGGATGTCATGACTTTTTTTTTCACATGCATGAAGTTTTGCACGTGGTGGTTTTTATGACGTGTACTGTTTCTTTTCCTGTAAATATAATATAGCACAACTCAGTGACCTGGTAAATCCTCATCTTTTATTCACATTCTGAAAGATTTCTCAGGTGATCATTCATATATGACTTGAATGAATGCTGGTAGCTGGCTTTTCAGGAATTAGGAAGTTCCCAGGAGAGTATGGCTGTCACAGTTAGAAGGATATCGCTTACTGATAAGAGGGGCATCTTATTTTGAAAAAATAGGTTTGCAATAACACTATGATACCGAGATTTCTCTTGACTCTCAACTGCATCCACTGTGGCTTTTTCATTATCTTGTACATCAGCATTTTAACTGAAGATAATTTATCAGCAATAGGAATATTAAACTAATTTTCATTCATTTGCAAAATGAACAATACTTTAGAATCTGCTATGGCTTTAATAATAAAGACTGTATTATATGCATAAACATTCCAATTTGAATTAGCTTAAATGATGTTGATAAATTATATTTAAGATTTGCTTCCCATCCCTTTTCTTCCTTCAAAATAAACAGGGTTCTTCCGCCATGACTTAATGTTTGATCAATGCATATTGCAAAAATATCATCAAGCTCAGAACCCATAAACGCTTTGGCAATCCAGCTGGTAATGTAGGGTTTATTATTGCTTTATTATGTCTCACTAGACTGCAGAAAAAATAAGCTAATTCTGCTGTTACAAACCAGCCCTGGGCTGCAGAATAAATTCTAGTTGAGAGTTAGTGAAATAAAGTAGGAGTTCTGTTGAGAACTCTGCATTTTCATTCTTTTTCCTCCTCATGCACAGGTGTTCGTTTTAGATTCTTCATTAGGTCTTGGAAGTCAGAACATTTGCTATCAAAATAATGTGCTCTTAACCAAATACTGTTAGCATTCAGATAACTTTTAAACACTTGGTTCTTTATCTGTCCTTTTCAACTGAATTTGTTTTCAAGGCAAATTTCATATTGCAGTGTAGAGATTTTTGCTGTGGGTTTTAACTTACAGTGTTAACACTCTCTATGGCAAAAATTAAACACACATTGGCAAATAAACCGAAATAGTTTCGTAAATGGATATGCAACTCTACAAAATATATCAACGAGAGCCACTGCTACACATTTATTCAGGCTTTCCTTAAGCAAAAAAAAAAAAAAAAAAACAAAAAACCAAAACACGCTGGGGCAGGTGGTTACGTTTCACTTTTGTCCTGCAGAAGAGGGGCAGAGGTAGAGGTCAGAAGCTGTTGTCCTTAGCAGCACTGAGTAATTTCTCTTTTGAGGTTTGGTGTTTGATAAGAGTGGGCAGAGTCAGAAGGTGGAAAAGGTGCCATGGGAGTTGGTCTGTTAATGACAACTCATATCCTGTGCTCTCCCTTCCTGCTGACCTGAGAGGTGCCTGCTGCCAGACTGTGGAGCAGCTGCTCATTTTCTGTGGGGAACTGGCTTCTCCTTCTCGTCGTTCCCAGCTGCCACATCAGTTAAAGGATAGCTAAGAAGGTATTTAATTCTTTCCTAATGTGTTTTGTTAGCCATGTCTCATCATTGTGGAGGAAGGCAATGCAAAGAGTACCACTGGATATGGGAGGGAAGATTTTTTTGGTGATGCATCTATTGAAATATATTTTATAGTCTGGAATAATTTGGCTTGCTGGGTTATAGCAATAATATTCATGGACATCATGTGTATAGCTGAAACAATGGATATCCCACAGAAAAAGAGGTCAGTCGTTCCACTGCTGTCTGTACTCCTGGAGGACAGCAGATGCAGGACCTTGCCAGCATGAGGTTCATCCACTTTGACACGATTACCTTAAAAGTCTCATGAAGAGAGGAAGGCGCTTACAGCTTCCATGGACTGCCATGTCAGAGAAGGCTCAGAGCTTTCATAATCAATTTACGGTAACGTTGAAACAACCTTCTTTGGTTTTATCCTCAAATGTATTCAGAGTTGCCCCTTTGGACCAAAGCTGTCAAGGTGTCTCGTCCCCATACATGACGTGTAGGGTTCAGCTTCCTCACACACAGAGCAGAGGCTTGCAGTCCCTCTGGTGTTTCCCTCTCTCCACACCTCCCACTCGGGGAGCGTTCGCAGAGCCGGCGGGGTGGGCCAGGGATCAGCAGCCGCGTCCTCCGGGAGCCACGGCGGGAACGCGGGCCCACCTCACCTGAGGATCAGCTTCCCGCCCTCCGCTCCCGGCTGCCTGGAAGGTAAGCCTGCTCCCTCTGCTCTCCCAGCAGCTCATCCTGCTTGTCGTTTCTGCAAGGAATGTGCCATGAAATACCAGCTAGAAACGCTGCCAAGGTCCTGATGTTTCCAGGCACGTGTGTGTGACCTTGGGCGGGTGTGCTGGGGTACCACAGCGGATGCTTCCTGGCGTGGGCGTGCTGGGGCTGAGAGGAGGGTGGGCACCAGAAATAACCTGGGAAGCTTGACTTGTGGCTTCTGCTGGACTGGTGGTTACAAGTAGTAAGGGAGCCTACTGAGTTTTGTCCTTTTTTTTTCTTTTTAACTTTTTGACTTCAGCGTGGGAAATAAACTCTCTCCACATCAGTCTTTTAAAAACCACTGCAGATATGATTTCTGTATTAGTCTTAGTTTTTTTTTAACTGGTATATATGACTTAAGTAGGTGGCTTTCAACTGAATATATGATTGAGCGCATCAGGGTCAGAATTAGTACTTCTGACTGTTGAATGCTTATGGTATGTCTGATGCTGAGAAAATAAAAGGTACTGGCTTAAGAAAGAAGCGGTGCAGATGAATGACATGTGATACAGTCATTGGCTGGCAGCCCTGGGCTATAGCCGAGTCGGACTGAAAATAAAAATGTGCAAAGTAAAAGAATTGCAGTAGCCACATCAGTGAAAACACAGCTGAGAGTGGCACACAAACATCATGATAATCACTTGCTTCCTTCTCCAAAAACAGCAGATCAAGTGAGCACAGTAAATACATCTGCTTAAATGGTTTATTTACACAATACTACTATTTTGGGTTTTCAGCACTTGCCTCTTACAAAAAAAAGAAAAATGCGACCTTCCCCCCATCAACTTAATCTCTTGGCCTCTTGTTAGGTCCTGCTCTGAGAAGAAAAACAGGTGTCGAGAGAGACCAGTGACTGTAATACAAAGAAGTAATTGAAAATAGCCCAGTAATTTAGGCAATGTCTAGAACATGCTTTTTGCTTAGCACCTGTTTACTATGTTTTCCCTTGCAAAGTAAAACAGGAAATATACAGTTACTAACTGTTCTAGAAAGTCCTCAGAGTAGAATAACCATTATTTCTATGTAGGAATAAGATATGTACTCACATAATCATATAAAACCAGATTCTCATATAGTTAGGATCATGGTCTTTTCTCATATCTAATGTTGAAATGTCATGCTGAGTAAGATGTGGTAGATAACAAGGTGATGTCAGCCTTTCTGTGCTCTCTCCGGGGTCCTTATATATTAGCATCCAAGCTACAGAAGAGCTTTGCATCCAGTGGTTCTTTTACTCCCTGATTTCAACATGATGGCATGAAGTTTGGTGTCATACTCTGTTGCATTCTTAGCTTTTTGCTCCCCTTCCCATCTCCAGTGCGGTCTGCTTCAACTCCCTAGCACTTGCGCAGTCAGCAGCATGATGCATCCAGAATAAACACTTCCATTCATGAGTAATGGAGCAATTAGATAGTTCCCTATCCTATTATTTTAATTTTCACCTTTTTTTTTTATTATTATTATTTTATGTATGGAATCTCCTGTTCAGGCTGTAGTAGCCACACAGCGGAAGAGGAAGAAGTTTTTTTCTTTATTGTAAAGGTGTCTAACAGCCCTCACAAGAATATTAATTGAAAACTGCATGCTCTCACCCGCATCTTATGCTGGAATTATTGTGAGTAAAGTGACTTCATAGTCACTTCCTTGGGTCTTTCTGTAGTGATCACCTTTGGCATTCCCATGGGTGAGCCAACAAAAGAAAACAGTGTAAGACCCTGGAGGCAGAGAATATAAACATGATTGAAGATTAAGTTTTAGGGTAGTTAGTATGAGTGCGAAGTTACACACAGCACAAACTTCAGATAAAACCTGCCAATGCTGGTGTAAGTCCATATGGACATATATATGTCCCGAGTTCTGCACTGCTGGTTCATTGCACCGCTGACAGCCTGCTCTTTTACCAGCACGGGTATCTCTTCCCCAGCACAAGGCGGGAGCGATTTCCCTGGGAGCTTCCATTTGGGAGCCTGCTGACACCCGGGGTATCCCGGCTGCCAGTGGGACAGGGCTGGGGAGTGCACCGAGCACACGCAGCTGAACGTGCCCACCTCAGATGCTCCAGTCCTTGTCTGTGATTGAAACCCACCACAAATGGGCAGGTTAAGGAGAGAGGAGGTGCCTCAGGTTTCTCACC